AAATTACTAAAATTTCCAACACCTTAATAATATACTCAATTCAATACTTTAGTATTCAAAAACTTGCAAATTTCATCCTCTATTTCCTTAGACTTTTCGATTTCAACCACCCACTTTACTAAACTTGAATTCGATCCCAAATCTAATATTTAATCTTAAAAATTAGTATACTAATATAAATTTCCAGCATTTAAATTTCATACTAAAATAGTACTATCACATTTGAAAATTCACAATTAAGTCCCAACTTTTGAGACTATTCTAATTCCATCACCAAATTTATCCAAATTTGCAATTTAGTCCCAAATCACTTATTTAACTTAAAATTCTAGTATTCTATAATTTAAATTCAATATTGAATACTCCAATTTACACATTTATGCATCAAGGTCCATCAATTCTCAAAACTTGCAAACTAGCCTTTTTTTCTACGTCAATGTTCCAAATTGATCCAAATCAATCTCCAAATTACATATAACACATTTAATATCAATTCTAGACCATATGAAAAAAATTTAACATTTTTCCCATATATTTTTTCATGGCTGAAAATCATAAAGTAACTAGGGTAAACTTTTCATTCAATTTCAAGCATGAATTCAAGCTCCTATGATTTAATTCATGCTATTCTAATATTCATAACATCAAATTCAATCAAAATTAAACCAGTCTCCATAAACCCTAGCCTTGGCTAAAACTTATTCATGCACTTTTAGATGATTTTAATCATCACTCATGCTTGGAAATTAATCTACAACCTTAATAACATAAAAATATTCCATCAAATCTTCAAAATCAAACATATTCTTCATGAATCTCAACATCTAAACATGATTTCCATGTAATTTTTATACCAAATGATAGATAATTTCAAAATGAATAATTCTCTATCTAATAACCCAAAAATCAAACGAATAAACTTAAAAATCAATTTGAAAATCTTACCCCTTTAGCCATGGAGGTTCACGACAACATTGAAGAAGAAAGACTGATTTTTTAAAAATAATTATGGCTTAAAACACTTGACACAAAATATCTTTCAATAAAATATTTTATAGTCAAAGATAAACCAACTTGAAGTTAACTTTCTACTTTAGTCATACAATTTTCAAAAATTACAATTTAATCACTTAATTTTTCCAATTTCTACTAAATATAGAAAATTAACTTCAATTCCACTGTTCCATGCTAAATTTCATTTCATTGTTCTAAAATATGGAAATAACATTTTCAACCTTTACCTAACATCTTTAAAATTTTCATAAAATTCTAATTCAATCTTATTATCCAATTTCTTATCAGATTTTACATCTTAATAACTTTTAATACAAATTCCAAATCAAAATTCTGATTCTCACAAAAATTCTTACTTCAAGATAAACAATTCATTTACGGGCCAAAATATATATCACTTTTAAAAATTTCATTTTTGGTCACTTAACTTTTTAAAATTTATACTGACTACTAAATTTTCAAAACTTACATTTTGGTCACTACTAAAAAATTTGGAGTATTACATGCAAGAAATGCTCTCATGTGACCACCTTAATATAAGACTAAAAAAAGACGCTACCAATTTTATTATTGTTTAAATAACAAAACCGGTAAAAAATGACCGAAAATATTATTAGGCGCTACCGATTTTATTATTATTGGACACTTTAACCAAAAATATTAAAAATTGATGTTTTAGGTAAAAATAATAATATTTTAAGTAACTTTTTACCGATTTTATTATTTAAACAATAACAAAACCAATATCGCCTTATTTAAACCTTATATTAAGATGTACTGTATAACTTTCCATTACAGGTACTCAATGACCCTGCACTGCCATGAAATAAGTGTATAAAAAGGCAAGTGAACTGATTTGACTGTAAAAAGGCAACAAAATCCCACCTTGCTCGGACCCAGAAAAAATCCATACTCGCAATGCAGTCTTGAAATGATCCAAAAAACTTCAAAACTCAATAGGACTAAACAGCACAATTTATGGGCATAGATAAATGTCTAAGGGAATGAATAGTAGGAAAAACAGAAGCAGGCTTAATCATTCGATTGGCCCTTGCAAGGAAACAACATCTAAAATGTGTAATAAAACGATCTACTAGATAGGATTCTTTTCCTCGATATGCTTCCGACACTAGAGTGAATAAGTACATAGTCAGGGTTCAGAAAGGCTATATTTCCGAAATCTGGTGTGAGCGACAGAATACTCGGTTGTGTGCGACAGAAAATGCACAATCGTTTTTAACTAGTATTTTCATGTCCTAAAGAAAAATTCTGAATAACAAGGCAATAAAAACGTATAAAGGCATCACTGGCTAGATAATTTGCAATCTACACAACTATTAACTTTATTCTATAAATCATACAATCAAACCCGGCCATTCCAATGCAATTATAAGTTATAACGTAAAACAGGCAACCAGAACAAGAAAACAACTGAGCAAGAAAAAGGAAAAATATTTACAAAACATAACAGGACAACTTTGTGCAAATTTTAAACACCTCAAATTTAGATACTGATGTTTATATAAAGATCAGAAAACCAACCAAATGTAACAAGAAAGCGTTTTTGATCAAAGATATTGTTCATAGGCTTAATGTTTTAGAAGGTGTTGTAAGATGGGTTAATAGGTCAGCCAATCTAGAGGATGATGCCTTAGCTAAAGAAGGAATTGGCTGATTCTATTCTAGTCTTATATTTCGGGTGTTTTATGGTTGTTTCAAGTTATTTGGTTAGTGGGGTGTATGATGGTTGTATCTTATGTAATTTTATGGTTCAATAAAATCCTAAGGCGCTCTTTTCCTCCTTCCACTGATTAAGGAGTTCATATAAACTCCATTAATCAAGAAGGGGGTTTTTAACGAGGCCTGAAATTCTTATAAAAAAAACAAAATAGAAAAATTGATGCATTAATAAAAAAAAGTAACAGTCTTTTATAAATCTTTAACGGTGCTTTTAAAATAAAGACATTTCGACACATCAAAAAGATATACAGAATGGGTCATAGGCAACAGATTTAGTCACCCTTTTTCCTAAAAGAGCATCCTTCGGTAAGTCTAGCTTTACCACCAGTAGGTTGGCATAAAACTGTCTGGCAATTACCACACACCACAACAGTTTGAGAGTGGCTAAATACAGTTGTGCTGCAAAAAAGAAAAAAGAAGAGAAAATGAAAACCCATAACTCAAGATATGAAAACACTGCTTAAAACGGTAGGTCTAAAATCCAAAAAACATATGTAAACGTACATATTGAAGCAGCCTTGACATTTAACATCCTTTGGAAGAGAGCAACAAAAAAGAAAACCGAAGAAAAGTTAATTCACCATATAGATATATCATTGATATAAAAATTAAGAAAAAAAAAGGTTAAGACATATTACCATAAAGAATGAATTGGGGGACTGAACGAGACGCTTGAGCTTGTGCTTCTTCTTCTCAAGCTCGGCTGGGGGATTCAACAAATCAACATCGTTTTGGAGAACCTAAAATCATAACAAAATACAAACAACAACAACTACCCAAATCAAGATCTTATTGGCTTAAACATAAGAAAAATACAATCAAAAACCTAAAAATGAACAAAAAGATGTCTAAAATTAAATGAGGGGATATTTACCATGTTTGCGTGTGGTGAAGGATGCGGCGCTGGGATTTTCAAGTTGAAGCTGTGGAGTGAGAAGCTTTCAAGAGACGAAGCGCTTTGAAAGGATTTTAGGGTTTGGGAAGTTAGAGGCTCGGAGTGCTTTTATTTTTAAGTTAACTGCTCGAGGCAATCCCCAAACTATGTATTAAATTTAAAATTAGTCCCTAATTTTTAAGATATTCTAATTAAGTCATTAAACTATTAATATAATTTCAATCAGTTTTTTTTTTTATCATTTTAGCCTTCAACTTGCGCATACAGTGTCAATTTAAATATGCTACGAAACATATTAAAATGCGTATATCAAATTTAAAATAGTATGCATCTAGAAATTTAAAAAAAATAACCTTAAATATTAATAATATAGTCGATTTTTATATAATAGATCCAAATTATCTATACAATACGTGCATCTGTGTTTAAAATTTGATTCACTAATTTTGAATATGTTTCACGTCAAACACAAGTTGACATTTAATGCTTAAATAATTTGTTTAATTAACAGAAGAAATTGTTTAAAATTATACTAATAATTGGGGAGTCTTTTAAAATATTTCAAAGTTTAGAGATCAGTTTATAATTTAGATATAATTTAGGGATAAACCAACTCTTTTATTTTCTATTTTCATTAAAGGGTAAACTATCTAATTGATTACTCAACTCTTAGGAGACTAATATTTTGGTCACCAAAAGAATCCTTTTTAATTTAGTCACGCAACTTTTCGGTGGTATGCAAATGGTTTTATTATATTTAATAATTATTTTTGACATAGTGGTATGAAAATGCAAATGTTCACGTGAGATTAGATAACGTTCAAAAGTTTTTTATTAGATTCTTTTGCAGAAGTACGATTTTATTTTATGAATCAATAAACAAATCTGTACAGAAAAATTAATGGTGCATGAAGTTGCAGTAATATAAGATTTTTCATTTCTGGGTAATATCTCAAGATGAAATAGATGAGCTACGATACAATCTTCAATGAATTTTCCTTGTTGGATGAAACGAAATAGATAAGTTCGGAAGCCGATAGTCGAACGAGCATAGCGATTCGACTTGTCATTCATAGCCTGTAATCTAACCCAGATCCATATTTCCAAGCCTCAAGGTGTCTATTCCATTCATACTTCATCTTTGATGGCATACCATTTAAAAATGCTTATGTTGGGCACACTGCAACCCTCGAAGATAACTCCACCAAGGGAAACTAAACGTTTCTTCACAATCTCTATAAGCTTTGCAGGCCTGGAATAATGGACAGAATATCAGTTAGAGATCGTCGTTATTAAGTTTTAAAATACAATGAGCAAAATATTTGTTAATAACTACAATGACCTCGGTTAAGAAAAACTGAGTTACAACAATTATCATCCAATAAAGCATACAGTTACAACAAAGGAAGCCTCCTAATACTGAAATATGGATGAAATTCGTGTAATGCAGGAAAGAAATCATAAATAACATGGCCAGTGCATTTGAAGTATCTCTTTGTTTACTTGCTAGTGGCACAGCATTCAATACGTAGCCATTTCGTTTCATATAGAAAACCAACTTTGGTGTTGAGAGAAGCTTTTAGCAGAATTTGTGTTTGTAACCTTTTATTAATTGATGTCACAGTGATCATTTACATCATGGTGCAAATATTAAACATGTAAATAAGTGAAGTCCAGAAGAACAGATCTTATTTCTATAATGCAGATTCAAAAGAGGAGAATTACTCACGAGACACCGAGGTTAAGAATGTCTTCTACCCAGATCTCGCCCTTATTCTCGAATCCGCATCTATTCTGAGCAGTTAATGAAATGAAAGACAGCTTCTACAAATGAGCCTACCCCGAGAAACACTAATCAATTCATCAAGTTCAGGAACTTACAGGATTGAATAACACAGCAGTAGCTTCTTCAATGTCTTTTTCATTCAAAATGCTAGCTTCTACAAGTTCCACCAACTCTTTCCTTGAGATATTCCATTCTTGTTCCCTCTAAAATCAATATGTTATTAACATCTCCTTCAAGCAAAGCATTTTGAAGCAGATTATTCTTGCTATAAAAACCTCTACAATGAACTGAATCCAAAAAAAAAAAAAACCTTACCCCTTCTAATATATTTCTTTCCACAATACAGACTTTAAGACCATTAGCAATCAAAGTAGTAGCAATGAAGATTCCAAGTGTACCCCCACAAACTACCACGTCACATTTATCTACTTGTTTTCCAGCAAGAACAGACTAGCTAAACACACCGGGAAAGCTCGAAACTACCTGCTGTGGTTCTTGCTGAACTGCAAAGACAAGAGAAGGAGATATTTTTTACCAATTTTGAAGCACAAATTAACACTTTAAACATTGCCGAACACACACGATGCGACTTACCGGCTTGAGTAGAGCAAATGCTTGACCAAATTTTGTCCAACCTCTTCAAGGCATTATAGGAGTATGCACCCCCAGCCTCACCACCAACTGAAATGCTTTCCATTATCCTCTGCAATATCGATCAATTTTCTTTTTTTACAAACTCATTATTTAATCACGTATTGTTCACCCACATAACATTTTTTTCCCGTCTATACAAACAAAACAACTAAATCATTATGAGGCGTGGATTCAAGAAACAAACTATTTGCTATACTAAACATAATCATAGCTTCTATAAAATATGCTTTTCACTCCCTTTGCCGAGGGAGTGTCCTTTTCTTGGGAAAAATCAAGTAGAAAGGTATGATGACCTGGGTTCTGGAGGGAACTGCTTGTGTTTGAGTGCTCATGTAGATAGTAGTCCTTGGAGCCGTTTGCCTGTTTCTGTAAACCAATGGATACTTTGACGGATATGGAGAGACCCCACTGAAGGATCTCAGCGAGACCATCATCATGGTTCCAGAAAACATATTGAATAACTTCCAAAATCTCTTCTTATTTATTTATTTATTTATTATCAAACCATTCAAAATGGGAAGGCTATGTGTAAGAGGAGATGACACGTTCATGGTTGTATTTTTCCGGCGTTTTTACACAAAAATTACCTAAACAATCAATAATTACTTGTCAGACACCATTTCTCCAAATATTATCGATCTATCACTCTTTTTGACATGGTGATAATCAAACGGGTTTCAGGATATTCGCCTTGCAGACGTGGACGGAATGCAAGGATCATGAAGCGTGTCTTCCTGGAGTTTGTCCGAGCCGGCACCACAGTGAAAAGTGTAAATTATAATCCGCATATTCGCTAGAAATTTGACATGTGATGGAAGGCGCTGATCATGAAATTACCACCTTTAATATCTGTGTCTTCCATTAAATTATCACCTTTAATACAGCCCAACCTCTCATTACCCTCACTCCTATAAATACCCTCACATACAACACTCAAACCACACTAAAAAAATTTATTCTCTTCCTTATCAATTCTTGTAGCAAGCTTTAAGTAAGTTTTGCTATCGTTTTTAGAAGCTAAATTTTTTTATTATATTATAATCATTTAATAATTTATTATTTATTATTATTTAATTAACTAATTTTCTTATTACTTTTTACAGTTATAAAATGGAATGTGGGTTGATTCATTTAGATGTGAATCATATCTCAAGTCATTTTGACAATACAGTAACAATTTTAAATTGTCTTATTTTAATTATTATGAATGTTTTATTTATTTATTTTAGTATTAGTTATATTTTAGTTTATATATTATTTATTTAATTAGAGAAATGATCATATATTAGATCTATTTATTCGTAACGCTAAGTTAGAGATACCAAGTTGTGTCTGGTCATATTTAGCTGAGGTCAGATTCAGTTACATAATGAAATATGAAGGGCATTGTAACCTTGAATCCAACCTTATTTTTACATTGATTGAGAGGTGGAGATCAGAGACACACATATGTCATCTTTCGTGTGGGGAGTGCACTATTACGCTGAAGGATGTTCCATACATTTGGGGCCTTCGATAGATGGGGATGTTATTTCTGGTGTGGTAGATGGTAATTGGAATTCATTGTGTGAGGAGTATCTTGGAGGTATATCATCTAATTTCAACGGTGGTCGAATACCATTATCATGGTTGGCTACAAATTTTCAACATTTAAATGAAGACTGTTCCGAGGAACATGCTAAAATATTTGCCCAGACTTGCATATTACAACTCATAGGAGGGATCTTGATTCTCGATAAATCTCGCAACAAAGTTTATTGTATGTGGTTGTGTCACTTTGTAGATTTTCACGTTGTTGAAAGACTCAGTTGGGGCTCCACGATTTTGGCATCTCTGTATAGAGAAATATATCAGGCAACTGAGGAAAAAACCCTAAAAATATATCTTCACCTTCAATAAGGGCAAAAGCAACTGGAAGAATGTTGTGATTACCATATTAGACAATTGTCAATAATAAAACTTGTATTTTACATACAATAACATCCCATCAATTTGGACCACGGGCTTGCAGTATTTCACAACATTAATGCACTATGGGTAAGTCCATAAAAGCTGGTAGAATTGACATCGATCGCGAAGCACTCAATCATCGTGGTATATATGATAAGTTTCGAAGTCGACTATTATCCCAAGATTCAGTCTGTGCACTACCTTAAACCAACTTGGTAGTTCGTTATAAGATGAATACCACTTGTCATGAAGCTTTTTAATGGCATTCTGCTTTGTCTTCCATGTTTTCTGTAGGAGACAGTGTATACATATTGAGATTGTATAGCTGAAATCAGCACCACAATAGCTATATGGGAGCTTGCTTTGACCATGGTCATAATGACTAGGTAGATAATGTCGGAGTCCAAGTTGGGATGATCTTAGTTGATCCCTTAAGCACAACATGTATGAGGACCGTTGTATAATGTTAGTTCTCATATGTTGTTTTTCATATTCCTATTCAATACATGAACCATCCAGTTGCATCTGTTATGACGTTGGACACAGTGACATACATACTTTTTGGTGGTGGATGGTCGACTCTAAAGTGAACAAAATTATGAATATTGTAATTCTTAATTGCAATCATCGCTTCTTCTTTGGATGAAAATTACATTATGATATATAACTCACCATCATTGACTGATGAGTTAAATCCGTAGTCACCAACATTGGGCATATCCGCAAATTTTGGCATATACATTGCATCATAGTCAGCTTCATACATATGTGTTCGAGGTTCGGTGTGTACCGTATTCGTGGAAACTTCATTTACATCATCATCATCGGAGTCTATGTTGAACTGCGGTGATTCTGACTCAACGAATAGTCCAGTCTCAGCACCATCCGCACATGGCTCACGAAGAGGTTCTTCTGGTGAAGATAAAGGTTCCTCTGTGATGTCGATATTTAGGCCGAACAAGCTGATAGTTGAATGTCTTTCCCTTGAACTTGAAGGCATCGTGTCATACGGGTTTTAAACTAAGTATTGTGTCGCATGCAACTCCACATTGAGGTCGAAGCAGCTTGCAGTTGAATGTCTCCCCCTGTAACTTGAAGGCATTGTGTCAAATGGGTACTAAATAGATTGTTGTGTTGAGGGAATCTTTATATTAAGGTTAAAGAAATAGGTAGATGAATACATTCCCCTTGAACTGAAAGCGATGTTATCATACGGATTGTTCGTGGAGCCACCTCGGTAGAGATCGTAACAAGTTGTTGATGAATGTCTCCCATTGAACTTGATGGGATGGTATCAGGATGTGATTTACCATTAACGAGTTAAAATCATTACACATTACTTGAATTGGCTTGTCAACTTAATCAACTTGTTAAGTCAGCCCATAGTGGGAGCATAATAACATACCACGAACCGTAGACATTACAACAAATGTGGCATACATTTGTGTAACAGCATCTGAATTTTGATTTTGAGCATCAACCATCATAGCAACGTCGTCATCGTTAGAGAGTTCGAACGCTGTATAAGTTAACGGAAATAGTGTAGTTAGAAATCTGTACTGAAGTGAGGACAGTCTTCTAGTACTTCCAACATGAACATTCTTTGATATTTTAATGATTAGCTCCTCAAGAATGATTTTCTCTTGAAGGATAAGGTGACAGAATAATTTGATGCGAAGATAATGTCGGTTTCATCTTCCTGAATTTCTCTATTATAGTAAACAATAGCTTAAATACGTCTCATTTTGAGAGTTTGAGAGTTTGAAAGATTGAAAGTCTTATGTCTGCAAAAATAAATGATTGTTTCTAATATACGATCATTCTCCTAATTAAATAAATAGTATATGAATTAAAATATAAACTAATACTAAAAAATTTAAAAAATATAATCACAATAATTTAAATAACCTAATTTAATATTGTTACCGTATCGACAAAATATCTCGAGATATGATCATGCCTTCAATTTTACAACCGCGGAAAATAAAAAAAATAGTACAATAAAATTTGGTCAAATAAATTAAATATGAAATAAATATAATATAATAAAAAAATATTTTTACCTTCTAAAAACTGTAACAAATTCTACTTGATAGAAGGAATTTATAGAAGAATGAATGTGAATGTAATTTTGGTGTGGTTTGATATTTGGATTCAGAGGTATTTATAGGGGATGGGTCGTCCGGGGTTTAAGGCAATTGCGGTAATAATAGAATAACAATAATTGAGGGGAATAATCGAATGTGTGCTTCATGATCTGTGCCTCCCTGACGCGTTAGAAAACCCCGCGATGGCGCTGATTACAATCTGCACTTTTCTACCGTGTCGTCAGTTCGGAAAAAACCCCAAGAAGGCGTGCTTCATAATATGTGCTTTTCGTCCACGTCTGTAAGGCGTGTATCTTGAAACACGCTTTATTATCACTCTGTCTGAATGGGTGCTAGATCGATAATATTTAGAAAAATGATATCTACCATATAATTATTGATTGTTTGGGTTATTTTTAAGTAAAAAGGTCGTCCGAAGTGTCCAAAAAGAAAAACTGACCGAGAGAATGGTTAGTGAGAGCGGCTGGTGACAGTTAAAAGGTCACCTCCAGGCGACAGTTAAAAGGTCACCTCCAGGTGACTTTAGAGATAAGTTACATTTACGTGGATAACCAGAGAAACCCCTCGACTAAAGCCTAAAAGGGGTTTTAGAGGCAACTTCACTATGCTGTTTAATCTTCATCTTAGTCTTCGGCTATATAGGTTTTACTTCATAAATACTTCAACAGGTAAACAAATATAGCTTCTTTTCTTCTCTTCTTTTGGATTATCTTGTGATTATGTTGTTCTATGTTCTGCTATTCCTGTGTTTGGCGGCTAAGAAAACCTGGGAAAGTGGGGAGGCAAAAGACCTCTCAATAACCATAATAAAATTTGAAGGGAACTGGACCTTAAGAACCTTGGATTTGCACGTATTTTCATGCAGTGCTGGCTCAAGTGATATTATTATAATCAATTCAACTAAAGAGATAAATCTTCAAAAACAAATTCCCTCATGCTCTTAGTTCTTATGTCACTAATACGGATACGGGGACGGAGATAAAAAATGATAATTCTTAAAATTACATAATACGGGAACGACAAGGGTACTTTATATAAAAAATAAATTATAAATAGATATAAAAAATCATAAATAAAGTTAATATTTCATAGAAAATTAGAAAATAAAATCCATAAGTTAATTATAATATTAGAAAATAAAATTCATAAAGTCCATACTTCATAAAAATTTGAAACCAGGAATTGCGGCCTAAATCTCTAAATTATTTCTATGACCAAATTGTAATTATTGTAAATTATATAACATGTTTAGTAAACCCTAAAATATTTGAGGACTAACTCTATGATTATTCCATTTTTATTATAATCTCAAATCCATAGCTTTATTCTAACATTAAGACGCGCCTCCCCATATTTTTGTCCTCCTCCTTCCTTCGTTTTCCCTTCTTTTATTGTTTCACGAATGTTCGTCCATAATCGTTACGCCGCTGTCATTCTTATTGATATGAGGTATGTAGGTCGCCGATCATTCGTCCAAAAGCTTCCATGTTGTGACCTCAACCCTCGCCGTTGATGTGAGATTGTGTTGATATAAAATCCGCGAGCTTTGGCTCTCATCCGCCGCCGTCGTAGGTCGTGTTGCAGAGTCACATGAATAAATCAATATTCGAGAAGCAAACGGTCAAGTCTCTAAAGAACTGGCACAAGGCTGCCAAGAAGAGAAACATCACCAAAATTACTCTTGGCAAAATTACTCTTGGGGACATCCCCGAAACGTTTAGTTTCCGAGCTTACGGAGATGATTAGTAGTAGCTTTCAAGACATGCTTGATGATTGTTCTGCATTTGTTCACTTAGACATAATTCAACAATTCGTGTTTGTCATGTTAGAGTATTGTGTTTAAACAGTTATTAGAAAACCCGTAGTCTCTCGTATTGAACTCAGACCATCTTAATAATAGTTTTTCACCCAATTCTTCGTATTAGGAAATATCATTCGAAAGCCAAGCTCCAAAAAACAAATTGTTCGTCCAATCATCACAAATAAATATGGTGGAACGATTAAAAATTACAAGAACAGCTAAAACATGGTATGATCACACCAACGTATCAAGATTTATATAAAACTAATTATTAAGAAGACAAAATTATATAAGAACATAAAAGATAACAAGAATACATGGATTATTGAATCCGTACAGTGAGCAAACAGAAGAAGGAAATGTGTATCCTTGCATATAATAGTAAATCCAAAGAAATGTGTTCATAAACTAAAACCCTTATGTCATAATACACGAACTTGAAACTTAATATCATGGAAGAGGAAGGGGGTAAAAGGAAGATAAAAATATGAGTAAACCCAGCCAGAACATTTAAAAAGAAGAGGCAACCTTGACATCCAGAGAACCAACTGCCATTCAGGAGAGGTCAGAGACTTGTTAGAAACAAAAGCGACATCAACTAGTTCCCATGGTGCTGTACCATTTCGGTTGCACCCTGGACTGGAGGATCATTTCACTACTATGATGGATTGAATGACTTCTTACAAATTGCATTTGTTGCATCTCTCATTGACCTGTCGTTGCCTTTGGAGTTGGGCTTGTGTCAATGACAATAGAAGAGATGGATCCTGAAACCAGTACAGCCTCGTCGCTAACAGCTTTAGATGCAGCCACATCTTCCAACCGCTTCCAGATTAGTTCTCGCTTCTCCTGCATATCTTTTCCCTTCGCTTCATCTTCTTGGAATCTGGCCAAACATTCATCAAAGAGGGCTTGATCAGCATCCAAGAAAATCTTCCGCACATTCAATGTGAGACTCTGAACCGCCGGATTCCAATGGTGACGCATGTTTCTCTCCAATGCTGGGAAGATTATAGGGAGTATTACTGTGCGGTTCTGAGTGATGAGATTTCTTATGTGATCATTGTTCCACAAGAACAATGCACGTTCAGCTACCTGCCAAGATAACATGTTATAACAAATTAAAATACTCAAACCAGCGTGATAGACCAAAATTTACCAGCATATAACATTCCTTTTAAGCAAGAATGAGCATTCATGGCAGTCAATTCAGAAGACATTTGACTGTGTTCAATCCATTTAAGGTTATTTGAATAGGATCAACCTTCTATAACAAAGAATATACAACTCATTAGCAAAATAATCATCAGCCTCTCAACTCAAATATGATCAACTATTGGTTGAAAACTTATGGTAGAATTCTACGGAAGGTTTTAGAGGATTTATTCTCTTTACTATAATTTGATCATTTCTAATCTCTACACTTTTTGAAATGTGTTTTCATTCTGAGGGTAACTTCTACCCGATCAGTCTGTCAATAATTTATTGTGCCTTATTTTTAAAAGAACATGTGATGATGTAACATATACACCTTGCCAATTTTTGTTACAGATGGAAAAGAATTGTCTAGTTGTAATGCTGTATGAAAAATAAGGTGTATATGTCAGATTATGGTATATTTGTATGTTAAAAAATCTACATCAGATTTTGTGACGCGATTACCAAAAAAAAATAGAGGACTAGGAATGATCAAATTCCAATAGAGGGATAAGTCTGCCAAAAACACAGTGCATAGGCCTTCTGTAGAATTTAACCTAAAGATATCTGACATTATTCATCAAGTATAGATAGCAAGGTTGAAGCTCAGACGATAAGCATTCTTCATGAATGCCATTCATGGTCTAGATGACAGTGATATCTTCAGGGAGGATCAAATACACATCATCCCCCTGAAAGTAAACCCCTTCTGTCATCTGCTGTAAACACTAAGATCCATTACTTTCTGAGACAAGTTAAATTGAAATATTTCTCAGTATGTCCATATCTCATCAGGACAAAACTGTGGGTGAATCATATTATATCAATAAACTAGAAAGTAACACTTGTTGGAGGGGGAGCATATTTTCCATTAAGATGTGAAAAAAACTCCAACAGCAACATTTGGGGAGGAAAATACAATATAAGACCTCAAACAATGTATTGTATAGTGATCAAGTATAGTGTAATTTAGTCATAGAAGACGGCTAAACGCTATAACAGTCTGACAAGGAAAAACATAAGTACCTGAAAATGCAAGCTGTTGAGGCACCGACCGATCTGACGGAAAAGAGGAAGCATACATCGTTGGAATTCTGCTGCCTGAGTTGCTTCAAGAACTTCTTCCAACTCTCCAAGGAACATTACCTCCTTTGAGCTATTAGTTACAGGCCAATACTTTAGAAGGCCTCGGACGACGGTATCAGCCAGCTTGAAGTCTTTCTCAACAAACTGAGTAATGCAATAAGAAAGTTGCTGATGATACATTGAAACACACTTGGGCTTGTGAAGAGGAATCAGGGCACGGACCAAGAAGAGCTTGTGCTCTTCCTTCAAAGGCAAAGCAAACCCATTGATTATACTCCCCAAGATTTCAAGTAATTCAGCTATACCGTTGTGTTTCTCTGTCTCAAAAATAAACCTGTAGAAGATATTGTTGATGGCTTTTCTAATGAATGGCCGCTGGACCATGAACTTCCCATAAATCCGATGTAGAATTGTCTTTAGGTACTCCCTCTCTCTTTGATCATCTGAATCAAATAAATCCAACAATTTCAACACAAATGGATGATCCATATATCTCTTAGCAAGCTTAGCATCAGTTTCCGGTGAGACAACAAATCTAAGTAAAAGTTCATAGACAATCTGAAGATGAGGCCAAGCAGGATCCATGGCTGGCTCTTCATCTTCAGCATCATACGTTTCTATAATCTTGCTATCATGATTCGGAGATGGAAAAGTTCGAAATAGATTAGCAGCCACCATTCTCGCAATCTCTTGCATTGCAACCTCGTTGAACTTAGTTGAAACAGACGAGACATAATCAACAAGCTCCAACAACATCTGCCGCTTTATGTCTTTTTCTTTGAGGTTCTTAGATGGATCACTAAAATCAAAAACCACATAGCACATACCCAACTTCCTAAGGAAAAGATTCTGCTTTTCTGAATTTGGCACATCTCGGAAACTAGGCAAAGCCTCATAATCCCCTGAAGCTAATACAGGACCAGCTTGGATTGCAAGAGGGGCTGTTTTCTTCCCATGATTCGATTTATTCGAACTGGATGAATGTGAATTAAGAGGGTCATTGTTCAACCGTGATGAACTGGAGGATTTCGATGAAGCCGAACCGGGCTTGGAGTTGTTAAAGGAATTGGGACCTGGAGAGGAATTACCATGGACTCCTCCATCACCATTTGAATCATTATGGGATGATTTCGATGGTTTCCGAGGTAGCTTTCCGAATATCTGCTTGATCATATCTAAAAAAAGCCCTAACCCTATATCGACAATTATCTAAGGTTCCAACATGAAAGGCTTCATATTACAAACATTTCTTTTATTCATCATTTACAGATTCAAGCAACGGACAATAAATATTAGTAATTAAAGAAAACAGTGCAATAATATGTACAAAAAAGAAGATCTATCCAGAATCTAATGCCTTTAATATTACAACTCTCTAGATTAAAACTAAGGTTACAGAAACGAAAGAACAGAAAAGGACGAAGGCTTTTTTTCAACTTACAATTGATTAAAAAATTGAATAGATCCAAAAAAGCGCAAGAACGAGCCAAAAGAGGAAGAAAACAAAGGAATAGGAGAAAACAAAGCCCCTAAAATGATCTATATAGTCATATAAACCCTAGTAACAAATTCGATTCAAGAGACGAAAGTAAATACTACAGGGCGACAACAAAAAGAGAGGAAAAAAGGAATTAGAGAATGCCTAGCAAACCAAAAAATACTATAAAAGCGGTAACGAAATTAAGATCTTTCCCTCTGCTCTATCTAAATGGGATTTTAGTTTTCTGTTTGGATGGAAGGAAAATAGAAATAGAAAAAATCACGGGGAATTGAGGTTTTCGAACAGGCATAGGAGGAGGCAGAAAGAAACTTTCAAAAGACAAAAAAACGATACCGATTCTAGAGGCGATAATGAATCCGATTAGATTTTTTCGTGTTTTGAATATTTGAAAATTATTTTTTTAATTAGTAATTAGTATCTAATATATTGACCGATTAATTCATTCAGATCGATATTACAGAGACGATGGCGATCTTCCCAATCCAGTTTGTTTTATTCGTAAACGTCAGAATTCGAACCTCTGATCTTGCTTAAGGAACCTAGTGTCTCGTCCTACCAGACCAACCGATTGTTGGTGAATGATATATAAGGAAATCACTATTTATTCAGAATTTTTAAAATTAATATTTTATTTTCCATTTGCAGTCAAAATTTTAGTACATGAAGGAATTGTCTCAGGAAAGGCGGGTTAATATACGGCGTTAACAGATACATTAAAAGATATTTAATAAATTCGGTTTAGCGCTATCGGAAATGTTGACTAATAATAATGTAGTAGGTCTAAGTCATTGAGAAATATTAAAAAATTGTGCAACCGGCAAACTTAACTTGTCGGTTCGTGTCGATCTAAATTAAAAATGTGTCGATCCAAAACGATATAACAGGTAAAACTATGACAAAACCGGTATTGAAATGATAAAACTGGTAAAGCGCTATCAGATACATTTAAAGTGTCGGTACTTTAATATAAGGATCGACACTTCGTGAATTTAAAAGAAAAGCAGTTTTAAATCCTATAAAGTGTCGATACTTTTAAAAAATGTATCGATCCAAAACGATATACCAGGTAAAAATATGATAAAATCGGTATCAAAATGATAAAACCGGTAAAACGTTACCGGATATATTGAAAGTGTCGATACTTGATATAAGGATCGACACTTTGTGAATTTAAAAGAGAAGCAGTTTTAGCGCCTATAATGTGTCGATACTTTAAAAAAAATATCGATCCACAACGATATAACAGGTAAAAATATGATAAAACCGGTATCAAAATGATAAAACCGATAAAACGATACCGGATATATTGAAAGTGTCGATACTTTCGTAAGTACGTGTAATAAATTATCGACACTTTCAAAGAAATATGTAATTATCCTTTCGAAAGTATCGACACCTGACATAAAAGTATCGACACTTTTGTATTTGTATCGATTAAATATAAATAACGTATCCTATGAAAATATAAAGGCCATATCTAAATATCCTCTGAAAACCGATAGAACGGACGAGTTTTTGAAATCGAAGCGTAATTGTTGCTGCATTTCAGAAGGCGTTTCTAAAACGATGTTTGTTTGTTTGTTGATGCAGTCGAATCGAAAAGTATGTTATCGAAACCCTAGTTTTTTATTATTACAGTAATCGCGAATAGGGTTTTTATGTGTTGTTTGGGGTTTTGGAGTAAAGAAGTATTTGTGACCGATTGCAGGTAGAAAGTGATATTGAAGGTAAAATATAAATGTCGATACTTTTATTAAATATTATAGGTAGAAAATGATATTATAGGTTGTATAAATGTGCCGACACATTTTTGTAGTGGCCATTTAAATTCTTTTGAAGAAAACCGTTTTACCACAAGAGTAGTTATCTATATTTGTATATTGAATAAAGTGTATGTAACAAAATAATTTGATTTGCGTAAACTGATATATGAAGGAAAAATGGAGTCAATGGGTTGGAAAATTGTTGGTGGCGCAGATGACTTTGAAATTGAGGCTGAGACTCGAAAGCAACCAAAGGGTGGATATATGTACTTCTAGTAAGTATCAATGTCTTTTTGTTATTATTGTTCAAATGGTAATTGGATTAAAGTATCGATAAACTTTAAATTGATTACAAATTTTAAATGTTGACAGTATGGCCGAATGCAAAAGGATGAAGGAAGATGGCATACAGAGCGGTTCGGTATGTAAAATGAAATTGACATTGAGTAGTATTTAGTGTTAATGTATTGATTAAGAAACGTTTATGTTTAATATTAGGTGACAAAAGATGTGAGGTCCAAATGGAATTCAATGAGTGATGCTGAAAAGGAACCTTACATCACACAGTCAAGGAATGATAGTAAATAATACAAAGAACGGAGGAAAGCACATGAAAATAAGGTATTCATTAAACTTGTAAATACGTTGATACAAAATATATAAGAACTATAGCATTATATATTGTTAAAAAATGTAGGAAGTGTCGACAAGATGCAGCATTAAAAGGGTGAATTCATTAATTAAACACCTTAAGGAGAAGGGTCAGTTGAATGTGCTGGGAGAAATAGGTTTTGGATCGTTGGTAGGAGTAAGGGATCGACCTATTCGGAGGGAATTGTGTCGATCCTTGATGGCGCAATTTGATGTCAGACAATGTATTGCTAAGTATAGTGATTTTTCATTTCCTCTCGGGATCCCATGTGTTGCAGCCGTATTGGGGGTAGAAAATGAAGGCAAAAGTGTTGTAGAAGTCTGTAAGAGTAAGGACTGGAAAGCACTTGCCTCCAAATATGATTTGAAGCAGAAGGTGACATATGCTGAAATTGAAGAGGAAATAAAAAGTGGATCTTACGTTGGGGATGAGCTGAAGGCCAGAGTTCTATTATACCTTGTCGGTATCTTTCTTTGTCCAAAGGGTCATACGTCAACGAACAAGGAACATATGAAGCTCATTTGCGATGAAGGCTTGAAGGGTGAATTCAATTGGGCTGAATATATCCATTCGAGATTGATTGAATCAATAATCACCTTTAAAAAGGGCAGCCAGAGATACCTCAAATGGTGCATAGCAATCTTAACGTTCAGACAATTTGAATATAGGTTGTTGGAGAGTGGGATCGATCGCGAATATTAAACGATCTCGTAAGCCACAATCAAAATCAACGAAGACAGGAGATAACAAAAGCTGCCATGATACATAAGAATAACAAAAGGATGCAATGATGTAAATGTAGGGTTAATTTTGTATAAGATTTATAATTTTGTATACGATTTATAATTTTGTATGTGAATATAATTATGAATGAGATGAGAAAAGTTAGCAGTATGTTGTTGTACATGTTTCTTATACACATTAAGGGTCATGTTGATACTTACGATATATGGAGATTGTTGTCTGTATTATACCAAATGTCATAATAATTGTCATCATGTGCGAGAATGAATGGTCATTCCATATATATTGAGGGTATGTACAATAACTACAAAATTCACTTTAAAGTAAAAGGCAAATTTACAATATGGCAAACAGGGTGCAACCATAAAGTGTCAATCCATATATAAAAAGTGTCGATCCCATAAACATCGAAACCTAAAAGTATAATGTAATAGGTAATTTTTCAATCTAATCGGTACAAGTATACCGGTTTTATGAGAGAATAAGTCTAAATAATGTATCGATACTTTTGTAGTTTGTGTCGATATTTTTTGTCCAGAATGAATGGCAAACAGGGTGCAACAATAAAGTGTCGATCCATATATAAAAAGTGTCGATCCGATAAACATCGAAACCCATAAGTATAATGTAATAGGTAATTTTTCAATCTAACCGGTACAAGTATACCGGTTTTATGAGAGAATAGGTCTAAATAATATATCGACACTTTTGTAGTTTGTGTCGATATTTTTGATCCAGAATGAATGGCAAACAGGGTGCAACAATAAAGTGTCGATCCATATATAAAAAGTGTCGATCCATATATAAAAAGTGTCGATCCCATAAACATCGAAACCCATAAGTATAATGTAATAGGTAATTTTTCATTCTAACCGGTACAAGTATACCGATTTTATGAGAGAATAGGTCTAAATAATGTGTCGACACTTTTGTAGTTTGTGTCGATATTTTTGGTCCAGAATGAATGGCAAACATGGTGCAACAATAAAGTGTCGATCCATATATAAAAAGTGTTGATCCCATAAACATCGAAACCCATAAGTATAATGTAATAGGTAATTTTTCAATCTAACCGGTACAAGTATACCGGTTTTATGAGAGAATATGTCTAAATAATGTGTCGACACTTTTGTAGTTTGTGTCGATATTTTTGGTCCAAAATGAATGGCAAACAGGGTGCAACCATAAAGTGTCGATCCATATATAAAAAGTGTCGATCCCATAAACATCGAAACCCAAAAGTATAATGTATTAGGTAATTTTTCAATCTAACCGGTATAAGTATACCGGTTTTATGGGAGAATTGGTATATAATATGTATCGACACTGTTTAATGTTTTGTCGATACTAATTTAAATATCAAGTGTTTTTCCACCGTTTATTATATATAGTACTCTAAATCGAAAAAACCTAAACATAAAGGCAAGCAGGCTGCCACATACCTTTGACGCTGCTTCCCATTCGAACGACAATGCTCTAGGTATGACACAAATTTATTCATGCTTATACGAATTTAGTTTATTGTTAGTAAAATTGCACCTCATTAGTTTGATAATTAAAATTATTTATGTATGTCCTCAGAAAAAGGCGAAAACATACGAGAGTATTTGGAAAATTTGTTGAAGGCCTCTAATGTTCCGGACTTCGTTAGAAATAACCTTTTTTCATCGGATTAATTTCGTTTGTCGGTACATTATTTGAACATTCTTGTGTATGTATATTTTGGTGTGATTATATTGTGTGTATATTTTCATTAATTATTCCATATTTGCTTCTCTGTATACATATACATTTGAGGATTGTTGAAATATCAATACTAGTTATTAATGTATTTTACATCTGCTTACAAATGTATCGAAACACATTACTATATCATTGTTTTCCATGA